TTATCACCCCTTCAGCTCCATCAAATCAGAATAAGAGTTAAAACCTAAAGATTTTCTAACTGACTCAAGCCTTCAGTACGAGCAGGTCGCTGTCAGCGTCAGACAGCTTCAGTCGGGATTCACCAACAGGGAGACGACTTTAGAAGAACACCCGCGTTTTTTGTATTTAAAGTTTTAAAGCTATAGCTCAACTTGTTGAACTGGCAACCCATGCACAGGGCTATAGTCCCTGACGCAGTGGTCATGGGTTCAAATCCCACTCATGGCCCTTTGCTGCAAGTCCTTCCCCATTCTTCTCCTTTCCTGTCTCTCTCTTCACTGTCCTATCCAATAAAAGGCAAAAAAAATATCAACAACAAAAAAAAGCTTCAACTGCAAAAGATGCAAATCAAACCAGTGAGACAGAAATCAGTGTGAACAGCTTCTGTGGCTTTTATTTGTAACGTGGCACAACACACATCTGCATGCTCGAAAGCTGCCTGCTTCAAGTAAAGCATAATGTCCTGAGATGGTCTCTGGTGGTTTAGATACAGAGCAGACTGAGTGTAACATGAAGTGTTTAACTGCATTTTAAACATGTGAGGTTTCAGTTTACATCTATCCAGAGTCATTGCATAAAACACATCACAAGAGTTTAGTGTGGATTCGTTTGGCTGATTCTGACAGAACACAAAGCTTCAAATAAGGATGTTTCTTCTGCAATATTCTATAATCAACACCGTTTTAAAGTGAACACCTCCAGTATTAATCTCTCCTTCTGTTGCTGAGTTGTTGATGCTGAATAAGAGAACACAAAACGATGACGTCACAGTGAAGCTGACCTTCAACCTTCTGGATATAAAAGGTTCATCGTTTTATACTATTAGTGTGAAACTTAGTCATAATTAGTGCCTGAATTACTGAGTTATGGCTGTAAAATGTGTTTTGTGAGGTTACAGTGACAACGGCAGGTTACATAAGGGATAAGAAATGCTTTTGTTTAAATCTGTTTCAGGCTTTTTGTCTGTATTAGATGGAAAACTGGCTAAAGGGTTAAACTTACAAAACTATGAGCAGTAAAATTGAATGATAAAAGAAAAAAAGAAGTTTTCTGTCCACTATAAATGCTGTTGCATTGTGACAATTCTCCATGTTGTTTACAATATTACATCCACTAATATACGAGAAACTTTATCATTTATACATCTAGGTTTATACATTATGCATGTACATGTATGTATGGATGTATAGTTTGTGTTTTCTAAGTTTAACAGTTACGCCAGTTTTCCACAACATTTAAAGATTGAGTCCAGGTTTTGCTAAATTCGAACAAGTTTCCACTCAAGAGGTTTTACAGAAAGAGGACGGACAACCTAAAAACTAAATAAAAAAAGAGCACAAATCCAAAACAAATATATCACTTTGCTCTACATTAGCTGCTTCGAGCTTCAGTGTGTTATCAGGAATTCAAAGGTTGTTACTCAGGATGCACGATATATCGGCGACCAAATCAGTATCGGCCGATATTAGTGTTTTCGGTATCGGTGCGATTAACAAATTTAGCCGATGTGAAAAACCGATGATTGTCTAACATCAGCACCTTCGTCCCTACATTTAAAATCGCTGCTATTTCACAGATGTTTTTACTTAAATGGTCCAGGACCTAAATATGTTAAAATATGTTTTACTTTTGTAATAAAGAAGACTAGGTGGTCTAATTTGGACGTCTTTTGAATAGTGTTCACGTTCTCACAGTGCTTATTTTCACTCATTATTCTGTGTGAACAAAACTTGAATATCGACATCGATAATATCGGTTATCGGCGATATCAGAAATCTTAAAATCGGATATCGGCATCGGCCAGAAATTTTAATATCGTGCATCACTAAGTGTTACCTTAAATTGTGCATCACCTACGACTGACATCGACCGTAGCTGTTAATGTCAACGTTTTCCATAAAAACCCTGCAAGAAACACTGAATTCATCCTGATGATTCCACTTCGCTGTGCTGCACAAAAACAAGAAAACAAAGCAAAATAAAAACAACAAAATCATCCAAACTCGAGCTCCACCAAGTCGACGTTTGACCCTCATCTCCCAGGATGCATCAGGTCAGTGGCTCTAGAGTTTGAATCATTTTTTATAATGTTTGAAGATGCTCTTTTTCAGTAAAAGCAGACCTGAAGTAACAAGTTGACCTGAACAGATCCTTAATGCTTAGAATAATATTCTGACGTTTGTGGCTGCGGTCGAGGTAGCGACGGATCCTTAAAGCCGAGGCGATGGGTGACGAATCCACTCGTTCAGCGTCTGCAGCGAAGATAAAGAAGGAAGGCGGCAAAAATTAGTTACAACACGACCCTCATGCACATCCGTTGCAGATCTAAAAATAGTGAGCAGGGTGGGGTGAGCAGAGGTAATTATAGTCATTGTGGAGAAACTCTCCTGCTAAGATTTCTCCTGCAGGAGTTTCATTTTCCCTCCCTCTTTCTGTCTCGCGGCTTCGGGCGATTGTTACGTGACAGCTGATACTTGACTTCTCGTTTGGCCATCTTTTGTTTTCACGATACTCTCCGAGCCGCCTGTGTGCAGCTCAGACGCACTCACACAAAACAGACGCTCGTAACACATTCTCACGGATATACTGGCTTTTTGCTGCAAACTTTTCACTCAGACTGAGAGAAAAAAAAAGAAGAAAAGCAGCTAATAATGAAAGCTGAGCGTCCGTGCTGGTGTTTTGTAGCTGCAGGAGGCTTCAACAGGTGCGGACGAGTTCGTACCTGCGTGATCAGAGCGTGGTGACGCATTTGGCCGAGCTCCTGGCGCTGGTCTTGGCCTGCAGAGGGAGGATGGTTTGGGCCTGCAGGCAGTACTTTGCTTTGTGGTCGAGACCTTTCAGAGTCAGCTTGTTGGAGCAGCAGTTGAGCTGAAAAACCTCCTGAAGAAGAAGAAGAGGGAAGACAGTGAGGCTCTGCGGATCATGACATGGAGGAAACGTGCAGAAAACTGGGGCGTAAAGTAGAAATTATATGTCGAAAAAAAAAACACAGACAAATTGCTTTGTTCTTCTTTTTTTGTTCCCGTTTCGATTCATTCTTCCGCCTCTTCTTCTTCCTTTTCCATTTCATAACAGTAAATTCTAAGATGCCCAGTAAAAAAAACACCCTTTAGATGTTGAAACGCTCCACCGGTTGGTCAATAATGGTGTTTCCTGAAGCACCCAGCTCTGTCCAGCTTCTCGAAAGTGAAGATTTTTCTCTATTTTGTAAAACATATGAACAAAACGCCCAACAAAGGTCACCTTGGAGACACGATTATCCCTTTATGGGACATTTTTGACATGCGGGAAGCTGAGAATGGCACTTTTCTGAGATTTTATAGACAAATCTACAATGTGTAATGTGCTACTAATGTCCAATAAAGCCTCCTGGAACTGGAGTCTAGTGCCAATCACTGAAAAAAAATAGAGATGCTCCCTTTATTACCTGTCAAATATTGGAAATGTATTCTCCTTATATGCTGAATTTGAGCCTGCTTGTAGAAAAAATGACATTGTACCAACTGGCTTTGAAACTCAGGACAGTTTTCGATATAATTAGATTAAAAATTCAAACATTTTTGTCATTTTTTCTGTCAATCGTTCATACGTTCAGGTTTTAATGCAGCAAGATGCAGGCTGACATACAGCTGAGGCTCGTGAGTGATAATAATTAGACTACAAGTAAAAATAATTTGTTTTAGGAATAAGGAAAATAAAAAAAAATC